CCTTCTCCCCTACTGGTCGTAATCCCTTTTCCCCATCTTTAATTATGGTACTAAAATAGACAAAAATTTGAGGCCTCATTTCGGCCCCGGTCGTATCCCGCAAAAAAATGTGGCTGCGAGGTCAGTTCCCGCGATGCCTCTCCGCGTCAGGCCAATCCGGGTCTAACCCTCTGAACGGCCAGTAATGATGGTCCGTTGATGTGCCGAGTGCGACCACCCATCTCGCCATCTTTGAGGGTTACCCGTAAGGTTCAGCGCGCCCAAAATCAAGGGCGCCCTGAGCTCCCCTAATTTCCGCTGCCTGGTCTAACCAGAGTACCGTCAAAACTCAGACTAGTCTCTGCGCCTAAGTCCCAAAACCGTAGATTTCAGGCGGTGCACTGCTTGTGGCCGCCTGACAACGTACCCCCAACCTTGTTTCTTATGCACCCCCTCTGGGAGGAAGCCAAACAGTACCCACTGCTCCCCCCATTATATCCTTGTGTCTCCAAAATGTTCCCAGTGCTGACTCCACCATTTCCAGATGCGACGAGACGCAGGACACTGCCACCGTAGATGGTGGGTAGACTCAAAAGGCCAAGAGCACCGTGGGCATTTCAGCTCGACCTGCATTCCTCTGCCCGTTAACCATACCGCTGATGGAGTTACCAGGAGGGATATCATCCAAAGGATGGACACTTGCTTCCCATTTGGCATCTTGGACAGCGTCTCCCAGAGGGCCAAGAATGAGGGACCTGCATTCGACAGATCCTCTGTTGTGACCGCCTGCCACCGACTGATTGCTACTTCCATAGGGGAACGTACGTTCCCTGTCCGCAGTCTCACGTTGTAGCCCTTGGCCACTGTGGCTTCCGTCAGCCGGAGCTGAATGCTCCTGCTCCCTCCCGTGGCCCAGTTCAAAGCCCCCGGGTCTATACACAGTTTCCGGAGCGGGGTACGCCCAACCCAGAACCATTTCTTCCTTCTCAATGGGGTACCACCCAGACCCACTACCCTTGCCTGAGGAGGGCTACCCCAAGACTTAACGATCTGTTCGTCCAACCGGAGCAATTCGTTTGTGTGCCTGTGACTGGTCCAACGCTCCACCCGCCGGAAGCCACTCGGAAGGATCTCGAGGACTTTCCATACTTCGTCTACCTCTCCTTCTGCTGTACAGTACCACGTGCCGACCGGATCGATCCCCTCTGGGCATAGTAGCTGGTTCCACCTTTCAGGGATAGCCTCCAACAGTTGTTGCCAACGTATTTCCACATTCCTCTGCGGATACAGCGCCTCTGCTATCGTCGACCGTGCTTTCCAAGAACCCAGGAGGGGGTCCCATAAGTCACCAATGGTGACCACTCCTTTCCGGATCCAAGCTGCCCCAAATGAGCCGGTGGAACCATCTGCCTTAAACCAACTCCCGTTGCTCTTCGTGACCTGCGGGTTTTCAAACAGCAGCTGGGTTTGGACCTCTTCTTTCGTCTCCGGTTGTGTTCGTCCATCAGGTGGTAGGCTGCTCCAGGCCTTGATTACTTCGCGCCAGAACTGAGATCTCAGTTTCTTCCGCCGGAAGGACGGAATGAAAACACAGCGCCAGACATCCTGTGGTCGGCACAGACCCCATTCTTTCATTAAGATCTGTTCCGCAATCAGCATCCAGTGTTCCTTCGCTGGCGCATTTGCCACTCTGAGAATCCACGTGCTTAGCTGAGCTTGGTTTTTCTTTGCAGGGTCCACCAAGTTCAGACCGCCCTCAACTCGTGGGAAGGTAAGTAAGTCCCATGCCACCTTGACCATGACCCCTATAAACCGCGCCACCAAATGCTTCATGGCCTTCCACACACTCTCTGAGATTGCTTTGACCGAGCTCACGAACCATGTGATAGAGAACAGGGCGACGTTCGCCACCAGCGCCCTCCCAATGATTGATAAGTGCCACATGTACCCCCACAGTCTCAGTCTCGCTGTTAATTTTTGTTGTAACAACAAGCCTTGGGTTGATGCGTTGACGTGCAGACTTACTAACACCCCTAGGAACCGCTCCTCCTCACCGTCCCGGATCCTCACCATCCCCCATTGTTCTACTAATCCGAACTGCTTCGGCAGCAAAAAGACTGACTTATTCCAATTGACTGTCGCTTCTGAGAGATGAGAGTACTCCACTAAAATTCCCTTTAGAGCCCTTAAAGACTCCCTCAAATTCTCGCTGATGATAAACAGGTCATCAGCGAGAGCTTTAACCTTGCATTGTGACCCATCGTGTAGCGGAAAGCCTTTGATGACTGGGTTGCGTCGAATTCTGTTCAGCACCATTTCCATTTGAAGGACAAAGAGCAATGGTGCCAATGGGCAACCCTGCCTCAGCGAACGTGATAGCTTGAAGGAAGGCGATAGATGGTCGTTAATCATTACTGCGGACGTTGAAAGCGTGTACATAGCCACGGTCCATTTGCAAAAGGATGTGTCGAACCCCATTCTTCTCAAGGTGGTGAACACAAATGACCATCCTACTTTGTCAGAGGCCTTCTCAAGATCCAAGAGCAAGACCGCCGTGTTCATATTCTCTGATTGCACCACCTCTAGGACCTCCAATGCAGTGACAATGTTATTAAAGATCGAGCGGCCGCGAACGAAGGCCCTTTGATCTCCTTCCACCAAGTCCGGCAGGTGATTCCCCAGTCTCCGTGCTTCGCCAAGATCTTATACGATACGTTGAGGAGAGAAATAGATCGCCAATTTCTCACCTCCGTCTTGTCGCCTTTCTTGAAGAGCATGCTGATCACCCCGTGAGTCATTCCCTTTCCTAATCTTCCCCCGGTCAGAACCTGATTGTAGAGTACCTCCAACTTTGGGCCCATTGTGTCCCAGGTCGCGCAGTAGAATTCTGTCGTCAGCCCGTCGATACCGGGTGACTTCCCTTTGGCCATTGACTTTACCATCTGAGTTAGTTCTGCCAAGGTCACCGGGCGGTCCAAGTCCAATCTCGCTGAGACGGACAGCGACACATTCGTGTCTTCCCACATATCGGACTCTCCCGTTAGGTCCGACGTCGGTTCCTCCGGTGGACGCCTCGAGGTTAGGTTATCTTCATAGTACATCTTGGCATAAAGGAGCATGCCTGTCGCTGAGGAAGCATTTGGTGCTGACTCGTCGAAGGGGTGCCGGAGTTCGATAGTCCGTTGAGTCGCCCACCGAGGTTGAAGTTTCTTGAATGTTTCTTTGGACATCTGGTCGTGAGTCTCAATTCCCTTTTCTTTGAGCAATTCTGCCCATCTTTTCTGTTTCCGCAACTGCAGGTTGTCCCACTCTTCCAGTCTCCTCTCCCTCTCCGCCGCCCACACCATCATGGAGATGGGGTGACCTTCCATTCTCTCCTCAGCTTCCTCCACCCTCCTCTTGCACTGAGCTTCCTTTGCATTTCTGGCCTTAGCCAGGATGCGAGATACCACGTCCAACACTTCGGACACAATCGCTAGACCGYTGTCCAGCCAGTCCGMTGGGTCTGGATARAATTCCTTGGCGCTCTCCCACCTGACCATGTGGTCGTCCACCCACTCRCGGACTCCTGGCTCCTCAATTACCTGCTTGTTGAGTCGAAAAAAAACTCTACCTCTACCGCATCCCTCCTGGAGCCTGATTTCTGYWGAAACCGGCTTGTGGTCTGATAGAGGATTGCAAGTTTGTCTGAYCGTCGTGACTCTGGGCATGAGCTGGTYTGACMCCAAAAAATAGTCCAGACRCCTSCTAGKAACCTGTTGCCYGTTATGGTGCAAGTGCGAGGTCCAGGTGTAGCCAKGGTCGTCTGCATTCAGAATACGGAATGGATCGACTAGAGATAAGGAGTCTGTCAATGCTAGGAGCCGTACGACATCCCCTCTCCCAGCCACCTCCGAGCCTGGGCATAAGGCGTCGTCCAGCGACCTATTCCAATCCCCTGCAATGACGACCTTCTCCACTTTCGGGATACTTGCAATTAGTCCTCTTAAGAAGCCCTCTCATTTCTTGGCACTGGTTGGAGCATACACCGTCATGAGTAGGCATTCCACCTTCTCGAGTTCAACCCGCATCCAGGCCCAGCGGCCCCAAATGTCAGCTTCCTTATCGATTATGCTCACCGCAGATCTCGATGAAGCAGAATACAAACTCCCCCTCTTGTTCCCTGAGCAGGGGCCCAGATCTGATGTCCCTGCCACCAAGAACCCAAAGCCTTAATCTTTTCTTCACACAACTTCGTCTCTTGTAGCATAACGCAGTTCCTATTCCTCTCGTGAATCCAAGACTTCAGACTTCTCTTCTTCCATCTACCATTTGTGTCCCCTAACCCCCTAGTATTCCAGGACACCATTTTAAGTTTGTCCATCCACTCTTCCTGCTTCCGCCTGATCTTGGATGCGGGTTGCCACCTGAATGTGACTGGAATGGAGTTGTGAGGACTTGTCTGCACCAGTTCCTCGAGAGGCCTGAGATCTTCGTGATGCCCTTGACCTGTCCCGTGTGCTGCCTCGGGAGGAATTTGATTCTTACATCGTTAGCCAGTCTGCAGTCAGTGCTCCAGCTAAGAAAGGCGACAGGAGACTCTCTTCAGTCTGCAGTTTCTTGTTGACACTTCTCAGCAGATTCGCAGAAATGCCCGACATGATTTTGATTTGATCTAATTGCTCAACTGACAATAATGCCAGTTGGATCCATCTCACCCCAACCTGTGTGAGAGAGTCCGCCAACTCATGCGGAATGCGAGCATCTAACAAGGGGAAGTAAAGCTTAAAGTAGCTGTTCTCAGACTCAACAATGAGGCTCACCATCGTCGAGCGGGGGATTAGCCGAATCGGGACACGTTGCCCGTACAGAGATTTAGCGAGATTAAGAATGTCCAAAGGGGTGGGGCAGTGATCCACTTCGTGCGACGGTAGTAATGGCGAACCGTCTGGTTGAGCCAGCGCCAAAAAGCAGACCCCCTCATTTAACATCGTACATACGATTGGTACAACTCTCCTTTTTACCTTCTCCGCTTGAGTGCTTTGTAGCGTGTCTGCTCTTTGATCACGCAACTGCTCGTCCATCCCCACCCCCATGCTTTCCTCCTCCGATATTTTATTGGCAGTAGAGCTTTGCATTGAGGATCTGTCCCCCTCGGATTGATCTACTGCCTGCTCGTCCTCATACCACTCGCTGCCCCATCTAACTCTGGACCGAGAGGAAGCCGATGTCTTCGATAATTCCCCTCGTGGCTTGTCAGCCCCCTCATCCCCTTCTGGGATCCGGTTCCGTTCGCCACCCGCCCCTCGCTGTAACCCAGATCTTGCCTGTGAGTTCGCTCCTTGATGGGAGCGTCCCTCCCCCACTCGATCTTCATTCCGGCCTCGTTCCTCCAGCCTGCCGTTGGTCCTCCAGTTCCTCTCCTCTCTGCCTCCGCTGCCCCCCTCTCTCCCTTGATCCCTCCAATCACCGCTTGGAACCCTTCTCCCTAATCGAGACGGACCTGGGCCGTCCAGGCGCCAGGAAAGACCAGACGTCATAGGGTGAGCGTCCCTTCCCTGAGAAACAAACTCCCTCCAATTGTATTGGTTGGAGGGGTATCTTGGGAGATGGTGAGCTGGTGCCCTCCACTCGAACTGGTCCTGATGAAACTGCTCTACTCCTTGCAAACGTGCATCCTGCGTGCCGGTGCCCCAACGTTCTTTCTGTCAATGCATCGATCCGGCTGCCAGCCTCTCCCTTTCGTCGAATTGTTCACCTGCGTGTCAGTATGACCTTTGACCTGTCTGATAGTCAGGCCTCTCCCTCCATTGTGGGATTCCATGCAATCCCTGCATACCTTCTGTGTGCTCAAACAGGTGATAATTGTAACCTCTCCCTCCAGGCATACCCTCCTTTGGGCCCGGATCGTTAGAGGCTTCATACCGACCGAAAAGCATCTACGAGGAGGGCTGCCTCTGCGATGGTTGCCTCCATGGTACTTCTGTCGCTGCACCCATCCACCTAGGATTGCTTCCCTGCGGACCCGGACTTCGATCTCCTCCTGCTGCACCGGGCACTCCATACAGTGGCCCCGCGGCCCCTCTAATCCCTTGCTCTGCACGTGTGACGCATTCCACCGCCACATGGTCTGCCCATCTTGGATTATGACCTTGCGTGGATCGTGTCGCGGTGATTCACGCTCGGGCCAGGGCCCTGGTGAAGATCGGTCCGACTTACAATAGGTCTTTCCTCGATTACCTGGGTACCACCCGTCTGTCTGACTTGTCTCTGCTGATGTTGGGAATAACGCGCCTTATGTCCCCCTGTTCTTCGACCAGAGAAGCCAACTCCTTCTCCTTGACGCACTCGAGGACAGTTGTCCTCCGTGTGAAAATACCATCGACACTTTTTGGACCAATCGGTGTAGGGGGTGGCGATGTCCACCTTCCATCTTTCTCCCGACGGTGCTTGGATCGTTAGGTCGTCGTCAACTTTTTCTCTTGCCTCAGCAGCCATATCGAACTTGATGGTCATCAATTTCGGTCTTGAGCTGCCAAATTCCGATGGATGCATCGTCCTCACTTCTCCAAATATGCCTTGGACAGCACTATGAAGGTAGTAGTATGCATTCAGGGGCACTCGCAACGCCATAATCCAAAATCTCGTCTCCGCTTCTTGGAGCCTGATTTCCTTCAGTTCTTGAAGAGGAAGCCACGTTTTGAACGTCATGACGTATTCCTCCGCCTCCTGGAGTTTGATCTTAAGCTCCTTCTGACGTAGTAGCCATGTTGCGATTTCTTTCAATCTAGCGACATAAGAAACCACGTTCGCCCCTTCGAATTTTACCCTACCTCTATCCGTAGTCGAACCAAACAATTTTTTGACAAACCAGCCGTCTTCATAAGCTCTATTTAGATCTTCCTTGACTTGTCTTGAGAGGTTTCGCGCTTCTCCTTGAAAAGAAACAATCACAGTATGATCCTTCAACCATGCTTCTTTGACTGCATTCGCTTGCTTGTTGACAACAAAGCGTTTCCCCTCCCTGTCCTCTATTACTTCCCCCAATGCTGCATCGTTCGGACAAACTCCCTGCATATAGCACTTTTCTACCGAAATTCTTAATCTCTCCTCCATACTTGCTGTCGCCGATGGGTTAGGAGGATCGCACCTCCTATGTACATCCTAATTTGCCATCACCTTCGCTCGAGGGCCGTCGCAGGTATTTAACGATGGTAGAGGAAGCAACGTTTGTTCGTTGACGCCACCGTAGCCTGCTCGTTGACGCCACCGAGTAACCTCGGGAAGTCGGAGGCAAGCTATCGCCCTCGGAGATTATGATACACTCCACCTGGTCCAGGGCTACTTCAGAGTCATAGGAACTAGTGAACCCGTAACCCTCGTATCCGCTACTCCGACCACGAGACTATCCTACTCTAGCCTATCCTAAAGGACTACCTGAGCGAACCATATACTTCGTCTCTGAATGAAGAGACGGACATGGCCGACACCCGCTTCCCGTCGTAATGGCAGTACACGGCCAGGTGTACGGGGGCACCCCTTCTGTAGCCTACGGAGTGTGTATGGTGGAAGGGTACGAGGGAGTGCACCCGTTCCGTGGCTGACGGAGTGTATGGTGGCAACGGAAGGGTAGGGGGGGGGGCTACGGAACATAGGGGGGCGGGGGGGCACCCCTTCTGTAGCCTACGGAGTGTGTATGCCAGTGGTGGAAGGGTACGGGGGGGTGCACCCCTTCCGTAGCCGATGGATTTTGTATGGTGGCAACGGAAGGGTAGGGGGGGGGCGCTATGGAAGGGTAGGAGGATGGGGAGGCACCCCTTTTGTAGCCTACGGAGTGTGTATGGTGGCAATGGAAGGGTAGCGGGGGGTGCACCCCTTCTGTAGCCGATGGAGTGTGTATGGTGGCGCTGTTGCTGTCCGTTTCTTCTTTCCACTGGTTGAGGCTGGCTTCTTTCCACTGGTTGAGGCTGACAACCCAGCGTTGTCACAGAGGATTCTCCATGGTACCAACAGGTTTTTGTGGTATGTCCCAGGATGTTACCGGACCCATTTGTGGACATAGGCCCCCGACCTGGCAAGGGATTTCAACACCCCAAGCATTGGGCCTGCACCCCTTCGTGCCCCATTTGTGGACGTAGGCCCCCGACGCGGCAAGGGATTTCAACACCCCAAGCATTTGGCCTGCACCCCTTCATGCCCTGCTCCAGTGTTTCAAAATTTTGGTGCGCTATGGCATGATTCCCGTGTTCACATTCAAATTCGAAGAGCTGTAAAAGGAAGAATGGACATCCGGTCCGGGCGTGGACATGAACTCTGTGGACGTCACCTCCATGCATCCCTGACCTGCAGCCCGTGCATGTGGCATGCAGGCACGAAGCGTGGACGTCACCTATTGTCGGCCATGAAGATAGCACCCGACATCTCTCCTGTCTGTTGCCATAGCCGGGGCAGACAACGCACCTCGCGCTCATGCATGCCATGCTTCTTCGTTTCGAACACCATCGTTGTCGATGGGCAGGGCCAATCCCTCAGCCTTCGCACGTGGCAGCTACGTTGTGCAATTGGTGGTGCTCCGGTGGAGAGGTCGGAGCCCCTTCTTCGGCACTGCAAGTTGCCATGTCTGCAGGGCTTTCCTGATTCGCCATTGCACAGGTTAATCATTGCTAATCGGGCAGAAGCACACGTGGCCACACTGTGAAGGCGTCATGTGGATCTGCCTATCGTGCGGCATTGCAGTTGGGAAGGGCTTTCCTGATTTGCGTTGCAAAGGTTTATCATTGCTAATCGGGCAGAAGCACACGTGGCGAGACTATGAAGGCTTCATGTGGATCTGCCTATTGTGAGGCATTGCAGTTTGGTGGCTACAAGGTCGTGGTCGGTTGTGTGCCTATCGAATATACCGCTGGCCTATTCTTTGGTTCCCTACAGGGCCGTCCTGCATCCATGTCAGTTCCCCCCTCAAACCAAAGTGCAGGTGGCACACAATGTCGTCCATATGGCACCTCGATGACGGTGGGCGGGTGGGGCGGGAGGGGTTGCATGACGTTGATGGCGACAATGGGGAAGGATGGCCAGTACTTGTGCGGGGCGAGGGCCACTGCACTTCGCACGTGTGCAGGCTGTACAGTCCTGTTGGTGGTCACCGTGACACTTGTAGCCGTTTTGGGGACCTTCGCCATTTCCGTCCTCGTTGTGGCTGTACTGTTACTGGGGTTGGTTGTGGTATGGGCAATCCTCCTCGGAAGGTGGTTGAACAGGTGAAGGGTAAAACCTGTTGAAATTGAGGTCTTTTTTGGTCGGTGGTCCGAGAGCGTGTAGTGGAGAGGCGAAACTAGATGCAGGACAGCGATTTGGAGGCGGAAGATGGCAGTGTGCAGCCGTGCCATTTACCTGAAGGGATGCTTGGTCCTCCGTCCGCACACCTTTTCATGTTGAGCCAGGATCTGGACAGGTTCTATGTCCCCGCCACGCTTGTGTGACGTCCGCTCCATGAACCTCTGGTTGATGATCGTCAAAACGGTCTTGTTCCGCATGCTCATCACCTGCAGCAGCATGACAACCATCATGAACAGGGCATCTTCGTCATACACAAGCTTCCCGTTGACATCTGCTTCTAACCAGTCCCATGTCCTCACCCTCATCACCAGCCATGGCGGCACCATCTCTCTGTAGCACACCTGACTGAAGTGTGGTGACCATAACGGAGTGTGGCGACCTCCTGACGGCCCTCAAAGTTGCGTCAATGACCCGTGTAGAGATCATAACACTCCTTTAAGTCGACGCCATTCCCTCTGACTAAAATGCAGCTAATGCAGACTAGAGGGCCGCGTTCAAATAAAATACACCCCCTGCTCTTTATTCGAACTACAAGCAAAACTGAACTTTTCACTGCAGCAAGCCCCGTGCAATGCACAACGCTAGCTGCAAGGGCACGACAAGCGTACAACAAGTGCACTATAAGCACACAACAAGTGTACTGCAAGTGCACAGCAAACTCACAGTAACCTCGGCGAGAAACTCAGCGACAACCAAAACACAGCAATTTGTGGCGAATGGCCGAAACTCCAAGTTCTTCAGGCGGGGCCTGCAAAACACACGTTTGGTATGACTGTGGGAGCAACAATTTTTCCAGCCCAGCCGCAGCGCCTGATGCACTCTAAGCCGCATGAAACCACATCTCTACCTTCAGATTTGAGAAAGAGCCATCAGTCTGTCAATCCTTGCTATGTCTAGATACGACGGGTTTCCAATCTGTTACTGCCTCAGACTTATGTTGGCTAGTCGTCCACATATCTTTGTAGGAAGCTGGTCATTGAGACAAACCTCCCCCTTAACCATTTAACACTCGGAGGTTTCATTCGTTAATTAGAACTAAATATACAAAACACTCCACCAACTAAAAATAATCATGCAACACTAGCCATCCAAGGAGAGTTATCAATTTGTCGATCCACGCTATGTCTATACCAGCTGGGTTTGTCCTCTCTCTCTCAACTGCTAGTTGTCCTCTGACCCTCATAACTCATCTGGCCGACCCTTTGACCGAAGTCATGTGGTCTTCTTAGCACCGGGGTAGAAAAGACCACCGCAAATGATCGGGGGCTCTACAACAACGGAAATTGATGCCACATCTTCGACGGAGACTGTGATTAGTGTGACAAAGAGATCAACCACAACGACTAGGCCCCTTATGGTAAAATCTAATGCGAAGGTCGGCACGTTAATGCCGACACGATGCTACAACGATGAGGCGGTGAACATGGATGGACAATGGCCATTCCAATCATGGGAGCGAATACAATAAACACAATAACATTAGCATGATTCATCGATGAAATGAGCAGCTCGTCAAATGCGATCAGCTCTACGAACACCCCGACGGAGATGAAGACGCGTGAGGCCGCACGAGTACTGCTCTTGCTTCGCCACCCTCCAAATATGCAAAATGAGAATGAATCTTTCACTGGAACATGGAGAGATGCATGCCCCCCAGGAAGACGACATTCGAGATAAAGCGGCAAAGCATCACGATGATAGAGAATAGGCTACCAACGGGAGATCAACAGCATGGGCGATACTGATACCATGGCCACAACGAACACTGTGGTAGCCACCATGAGAAGCGAAACCGGGACTATGCATCTGATTCGACGCGATCGCGGTGTGCATCATAATGGTGTCTCGGCTTATTGAGGGCGGTCAATCGTGATTGCGACTGGACTGCTATTACGACCATGACGACAATTACGAGGGGTTGCGTGATCGGTCGTCACCACACAACTAATGGAGCACGAATCTCTCATTAAATTTCGGAAAGGTTCATGCGATTTTTTACAATAGGTCGCTAATGCCAATCAGGTGGTTAGGTGAGTCTCTCTCTCTCTCTCTCGATCACTCTCACTCACGCGCCCTCTCTCATTCATAGTTCACTTTCGTCGGCACTTCACGCAGCTTTTGGCTACTATAAGTACGAGATAAACATGAATCTCCCTCTAAAGTGTGGAAAGATAAACTACTTAAAAAAAAAAGAAAACCATCTTCGGTGCAACCTTTAACGTCTCAGCGCAAAAACTAGCCTATGAACCTTAAATTTAAAAAAACAATTAGCTTTATCCTATACTAAAACCCCTACCCTGCAATCTTCCTTGTCGGATTCCATTAGGAATCGAAAAAGATGAACGATTTTTGCTCCTGCCATATTCACAATTTCGATAACCTTGCGCACCTCATTTTCTTACTACCCCCTAACCTATTGACTTATCAGCCGAGCTAAGCTCAACGAGCAGCTCGGACGAAGGTGATCAACACCCAAATCTCAAGGATAAAATTTAGCCGTGAATGAAAAATGGCTATCACGAGCACAAGTGATCAACTACGATCTCAAGCGGGAGTAGCGCATCCATGAATCGGGGTCCTGATAGTGACCATGAGTAGGAGCAAAGGAAGCACTCCACCACTTTCCACAAAGCATTCAAAATGAGAATGAATACTCCGCTAGGACATGGGAAGATACATTCTGTTCTTGTCGCCTCGTTTCTCTCTTTGCTCGCTTCAGTCTAACACCACACAACTTCACTGCTTGAGGAAGGTAATCCTTCTCTCTTCCCTCTTTCGTCCTTTCTCGCGTGCCTGCTCGTTCGTGCACGTATATTCCCTATGAGCTATCGCTCTTTGCACACTAGCTGCCCCGTTCGACCATCGCTCGAGTTAGAGGAAGGCAGGGATGCACCTTCTGCTAGGGCACAAAACGATACATGCTATCCAAGTTGCCAGTTCGTGCATCTGTCACCGGCTAGGTTAGAGGTGAATCTCCCGCAAAATATGGCAAGTCACAGCGTCCAACGTCGCGACTCTCACGACGGTCCGATCGGGATCGGGATAACGAGCAGCGCTTTCACCACCGAGACCTCAACCTCGATTACATGGATGACAAGCACGTGCTGCAGGATCAGCGAGATCTCGACAGAGATCAGTAATGGGATCGAGATGAACAACTATGGGATTTAGATGACGATCAAAGCGATCAGATCGTCGTCTACGGTCAGCAAAACGTGAGGTCCCACTTAACACTTTACCAATATATAAAATGAGAATGGATCTGCCGCTAGAACACGTGGAGATACATGTCATGCAAAGTTGCCTGCGAGATGCACAAAATCAGAATGAATCTTCTGAGTGCATTATCTTAGTAAGGCAGAAAGCCCTGCACTGTTATTGAGTGCACAGTCTGCGAGGAGGGGACCTTCCCAGCCGTATCATCTAGGATTGACAAATTTCCAAGTTGCTTCACGTAAGGGGAAGCAGCTGAGTCGCGCCAGCTGAGTGCACCAACTATACCTCCATCGAGTCCCTACAACAGGATATGGTCTCGTGAGGCACAACTTACCTCCACCAGCACGAACTGTCACCATCCTTGGGTGTGTGTATCCCCGCCAAGCTATTGAACCACATATGAAAGTTTTATGTGCAATCGCGGAGGTGGTTCAACCGAGGGCGTTTCTCGTACGTTGTAGGATAGGGGGTATGTGCGGTCCACACCTAGCTCGGAGCCGTACGTGAACCGTTGAGTGAGGCGTTGATCTCCTACGTGTGTTTCGACGTAGGTCGACTAAGACATCCTAAATTAACCACGCGACATGCAACAAAATATGAAACTAAATTCAAACAAGCATACAAGCCTAGTCCTTTTTTCAAGCGTTCTGACTCATAACTCAGAAGAAGCGAAAGTGTCTGAGTGAAACCCACGCAAAGTTGCATAAGGAGAATGCACGAGCAAAGGAGACCATAACGCCCAGTCATGTGCACTCACTTGATCGACTATCATTGCGACGTTTCATGCATTACCCACAAACGCGCAACCTCTCATGGGTTTTAGGGTTGCGTACGACACCCAGGTGTCGAAAACGAAATATCATTAGAGAACGGTTACCCTCCTTCACGATTTAACGGCTGAAGGATAAGTCGTTCAACCCTTGCGGCATCCCTGTTTTTTAGCCAATGGGTGACGACTACGTTGCGATTCGTACTCACCCCCATACGAGTACAAGTTGTACTAATTTCTTGTACGCTACTCGTACTCAAGGCCCGTACGACTTTTTTTAATTTTTTTTTACTGTTTTTATTTTTTTTCTCTAATTCTAATAAGAATCTGCAGATGGTGCTCGGGAAAATGTTGCTTGTCTTGGTATTTTACATCACATATATACTTTTCGGATTTTTTGGATGACTTTTTTTTTTTTTTTTTCGTACGGGTCGTACGGGGGCGTACAGGTTTCCCTACAGATATTATCTGTACGTTTCGTACGGAAAGGCCCCGTACGTGTACATTCGGTAACATAGGGTGACGATAGGTAAGGGGCATAGATCCGACTTATGAGGGAAACCCTTTTGTGTTGTACTAGAACCTAGGATGTCATGGATAAGGATCCAAAATTCCAGGCTCAGGACCAACGTCCGATTAATAATCTAAAAAGCAAAACCTTTTTAAGATGGGGTTCGTACATTCCTCCTCTGTGGAAAGGTATTAAGGGGGTAGTATCGGGTCAACGAGCAACTTGCCATTCCCGAACTGAGTCTTAGCCCGTTTGAAGGTCGAGCGTTGAACCTTGCGCTCGACCACTCCTGCCTTTTCGCTAAATGCGTGCGGCGAAAAAAAGTAAAAATGTAAAAGAAAAGCGGAAGTCGTAGAGGAAATCGAGGAGAGTTATTCTAACAGCCACAGTTGAATTTTGTCACTCATACCCCACATTTATTCATCAATATTATCCTTTGTCTAGGAACGAACCCTCGCTCTTATACCCAACTGCTATTAATTCGATAGCAGAAGTTAATAAAACTCAAGATTTATAAGAGCACTCGCATGTAACGGTGACCTCGTCATAGAATCAAGGCAGGCATCGCTTATCGAGTTAACAGAGATCAACTTTGTATCACACTCTAAAGTACTTAGCAGTTAACGTCCGATAACGATATAAAAATCACAAAAAGTTTGTAAGCACTTCTTTTAGGGAAGTGTGTTCGATTAATATTTACTAGACGAAATCTAAAACTATAACTCAAGACTCAAAAACTATCTTAAAATAAATTAACTCTTTGGTGTTAGTAGAAATTTCGGCAGCACTTCCTAAACATTCATAATTCCTACTAACTCCAAAGACTAAACTAATTCTAACTCAATTGACACCTCAGAATTTACTGAGTTTCTAGCAAAAATTTCGACAGCATCGTTTCTTATTGAAGAAAACTCTCATAATTTATACTAACTCAGAGACTAGCAAAGGTCTT